ATTTTCTGTAGCCTTTTCTATTTCTTGTTTGTTTTGCGAAAGAGCTGGTTCAGTTATTCCGATAGAATCAAGAGACCACAAGTCACAAATTTTTCTGTCACTAATGTGTAGTGATAAAAGAACTTTCATTAAAATTCTTTCCCTTTACCTTCGTTCTCCCTAATATTGTCCAACCAAGGTGTGTATTCATCGCTACTAAACTCTCCGTTACGTGTTTTATTTCCCCTGTAAAGAGTTTTCCGGCATAATAATCTGCTCCTACAAGCATGTGTATTTCGTTAGGGTGTTTTTTCAAATAAACAAGAATTCTCATTAGTTACATCACTGGGAAAAATTTTGTAACCTCTTAGTTTCTTTAAGCATTCCCTATCCTCCAATTTTGGAATATGTGAGCATATGGTTTTTTGGCTCAAAACTTCCATTTCGCATGTGAATCCTGTTTCTGGATTATTTAACTTAATCAGATACTTGTTGTGATTTTCCCTTTTTTCTATCCCTCCAAAAAGCCCATGAGTCACACTTTCCTGACCTAAAGATTTTAGTTTTAATTTCTCCGCAAGAAATGTGCTGATATATGATCTGCTACTTCCGGTATCCAGAATTATTCGTATAAAATTGCTTTCACCATCTCCGTAAACATTGGCAATTAAAGTTTGCAAGATTACACTTTCATAGGATGAATTATTCGTTAAGGCCTTATTTTCAATTTGTTCTTCCTTAATTTCTCCGTTTTCGTTTTTAAAACACATTATAGTGGCATGTCGTTGTTTACATAATTCACACCTTATTCTAGAAGTGCAATTAAAACTAAGATGCCGTGGGTGTAAACAGCGATAACAGATCCCTTTCGCTTTGCATTTCTCCATTTCTTTTTTTCTCAGTAGACCATAAAGATGCTTGTTTACACGTTATAGACTCGTGATCAGAAGAGTCGCAGAAAACACATGGTGTTTGTCCCCCCCGCAAACTTGCGTTCGTCAACTCCGAAGCTGTGTGTTTCGCAATAGGTCTGGTTTCACTCAGTTTGTTATGCTTTTGCGGCGCCGCCTTTGGCTGGACCGTCTGGAATGTACGTTCCCGCGCAACTAACTGTTCAGAAAGAAATTCCACTAGGTGATTCAAATCGTAATTTGATTTCCGAACTGTTTTATTATACTCCAAAACCAAATCTGCGGGCAATGTTTTAAGCAAAATAGGTGTTAATAAAGCTCCATATGTTTCTGAGGTCATATTTAATGATTCAAGACATCGAATATGTTTCTGTATATAATTGAATAACTTACGGAAATTTTGAATGTCATTAGAATCTTTTAGAGGTCTTATTTTCAGTAATTTATCTATATGGGCGTTTATCAGTACATCTTTATTTCCAAATCTTTCTGTGAGGAGTTTAACTGAAGTTTCGTAATTTTCTTCGGTTAAATCGAAACCGTCAATGGTGTTATAAGCAGTACCTCCCAAAAAGGATTTCAAATAATTAAATTTGCTTATAGCGTCAAGCGTTTTATTTTGATGTATGGCTGATGAAAAAGTGTTCCAAAATGTCAGCCATTCGCAGCTCTCGCCATAAAACTTCGGAATCGTAAGTTTAGGAAGCTTCACATTATGACTTTCGATTTTAACGTTTTCTATAATACTTTCACTTAACTGTTCAGTGCTTCGTTAACACATTAAATTTTTGTTGTTCTATATTAATTTCTTTCAATTTTTTGTTAGCTTTGTATTTAAATGTAGTTATTCTTTCACGATATTCGTCAACACCGTTTAATTCCTGGTCAAGATCCTTTATGTCTATTAATTTTTCTATATCGGCATCTATTTGTTTTAACTCGTTCGATTTTTCATTTAAGAGTTCTAAGGAAATTTCTAGTTCCTCTGCATTCACTTCTGTTTTTGGTAATTCAGTTTCGATTCGGCCAATTAATTTTGTAACGGCAGCCCTTATGTGGCCGCGTTTCCTTTTCAATGTATCGATGAATTCCGTCATTATTTAATATTCAACAATTCAACAAGTATCAGCAATTCACTAATTATTTATGCTTATGTATTATCTATATAACTGATATCAATTTAGACAGTTTCAATAGTTAGGAAAACCGCAGTTACTGGCAGTCCCTGTTCGTGCGCCATGTTAAAAAATTTTATCAACTTTGTACTATTAAAATTTTTTGATCATTAAATAGATAAGTGAAAGTTCACTTACCTTCTAAATAGGGCTGCCCTGAACTGCCTGCTTTTCCTTCTTGTCGATATCCGTCTCTATGATGAACTTCGATTCACTTCGAAACACAGCTATAAACTTTTTAAGAAATTTTAATTCGTATGAAAGATATCTACAAAATATTTACAAGTTATAATGATTACAAGCATAATTTATACGGAGACGGTCTATCGTTATACATCTGTTAGACGCGTCAGCCGTTCAACTGACTACTTTTAGTCTCTTTCGCCAGAGGGCGTTCGTGGAAGTAAAGTTCTAGTAAGCAAACGCGACACAAGCAGTTACTGCGCATCGTAAAATTCATCAATATTGGATTCACAAACACCAAGCAGCCGCGTTTTTTATGTTAGCCATAGCAAAAGCCTTTGACCGCGTCTGACATAACGGCTTAATTTATAAGCTTATTTCTCTCGACATCGCCAGAGACATGACCCTCATTCTGTACTCCTATCTTACCAACAAAGCTTTTAGAATCAGGCAGAGGACCACTACTCTGTTGAAATCATCATTAAAGCACCCGAGGTAAGAACGGGTACATCAAGCGGAGTAAACTTAAGATTAAATTATACTTTTTTTTTATTTAAGATAACCGTACACTCCCTCTGTGCATAAGGAATTTTGTATGTTTTTTTCTACCAATTTAACATATAATAGCATAATATTTAATATTTTTACCTTTATGTCTAAACAGGCATAAGACAAAGTTTCCCTGCGATTTCCAGAAAGCACTTCAATACAAAGAGCCATGAGTTTCAACAACTCATTTCCTCAAGTCTTGAGGAACATTTTGCTATGTCAGAAAGTCTGTATGAGAAACAAAAGTTTCCTCCTGGTCGATATATAAAGTCGATGAGCCAGGAACAAACACTGTTCCTAACAAACCATCAAAAGTCCTTGCTTTACGAGGAAACAAATGGCTGGAGTATTGGTATCAACTTATAAGGTATTTCTCCCGCCTTCTTGGCATACCTTCATGGTGTGGTGGTCTGTACGCTGGGCGCGTATTCCAGAGGTCTGCGGTTCGATTCCCGGCGAAGGCGTTGCTAATTTTTCACCTTTCTTGCTTCCAAAAAATACCTAATGTCTCTAGAAACTGAATGTGGAATTTTAGTTTTGCTCAAATGTACGAATGCGAAGACAACTTCATGGCAGTAATGTTTATTTTCCCTCGAAAAGAAAGAGAAACCGGCATGTTCATTAATGATGCACCGTTAGATAGTTTTGCTTAGTATCACGCTTTTGTATGGATTAAGACAGGAATTTTGTGTATTTGTTTCGAAAATTTCTGTATTTCGTGTATTTGTTTCGAAAGTTTTGTTTGAATGTTCTCTAAACTGTTTGCTGACGAATCAGTCCTTTTGATTTTGGGTGGCCATGCCACCCGTAAGAAGGATAGTGATCTTATGCCAGGGGCCCAAGAAAATAATGCAATTATTTTGTGCTTGCCGTCAAATTATTCCCACAAGGAAAAGAAATTGCTTTGTAGTAACTCAAAAAGAAACTCAAAACAACTAGCACCTCTCCCTCAAAAAATGTATGAGGAACCAATACAAGAAAACACTCTCATATAAAAACCCTAAACTTTCTTTATCATGATTCCTTTGATGAAGACAATAAAAGCGCACTAGACATTGATTGTTTATAATCTAATGATGAATTTTCTAACTCAGAAAAAAGCAGATGGGTGGATCCAATGTAGAAAGTCCCTTGGCTGGGTTCATGGAAGCTGCAGTGGAACAAAGAAACAGAGAATTGCTTTACTCGTGAATTTTGTAAATAATATTTTTAAAATGTAAAATAAAAATTTCTGCTACTTTTTGTACTGAAAAAAATCTAGTTTTTCTAATTCCCCGTAATGTTAGCATGTGTCCCTGGTCTTATACCACTAGTGGCATAGATAAAACCGCGTGATTTGGAATTTTTACAGAAAAAAATAATTGTTAATTAAAAAGTAGGGAAATTCTGACTTTTCAGAAATAATATAGTGTGCTCAATTAAACAATGAATATTTCAGTTCGAAATAGTTTAGTTCCAACAAGCCTTCGAGTCCTAGCTAACTCACTTTCCCCTGCATAATGTTACGTAGTCAGGGTTTAAATTCAACCGGAGACCTCTTGAGCTCATTCTTAGTTTTTGAATTAAATTATATTTTTGTAGCCGGAGCCGTAAATAAGACGATGTTAGGATTTTATTTTATTATTTAACTATTTATTATTTATGTAATAATATATATATTTTTTTACAATTTTTTAGTTTAATTTTATATTTTAATTTTATTTAATTATATAATTATTTTAAATATCAAATATTCTATTAATAACTAATTGTTGTATTGTTTTAATTATACTAGTTATTTTATTAATTTACTTATTCTTGTTCCTCTTTCCTGACGTTCTTCCATAGGGTTCTGGCACTTCTAATTTTATAAATTAAGCCATTCCTATGGTAGCCTAATATAGCGTAAACAAAAATTTAAATGTATTAGATTGTAAAAGTTTTACTAACGTCGAAAGAGCAATAACAGTTTTAAGCAGCCGCTTCAATCCATTCATCTCATTCAAGGAGAAAACATCGCTTTTACTTTATATTTTTATCCTTCAGTTAAAATATTAGTATCCCTTTATCATACACAGAATATTCTTTAACATTTATGCAACTGCAAAGATCTTTCCCAGCAATTAATTGAAAAGGTAAACAAGGAATCTTAAATATTAGAAACTACTTATCAATAACATTTATATTAATATAACGCATATAAAATTAAGTATATTATACTTACTTGGCAATAAGTCTTAAATAACGCATTCTTATAAGGAATTAGGCAATCACGTAGTGGTTTTACTAGGTCCAAAGCATGTTTCATACAAATAACGTTAGTTATTTTTTGCTCACAATTACGAACATTATCATCCTTCGGTATTTGGACACACAGCGACAAGAGATGTTCCGTGTCAATAAACTTACTAATTACAGACTGAAAGGGAAAAAAATATTTGATTAAGAAAAAATGGTGTTTAATTGAAGTTTACATTTTCTAATAAATCAATACATAATGTTTTAGCATTGTAAAAGACATATAAATTTTAACTAATTGATATAAACAACGAATGCAGTATAATATGACTGATGTTTCCTTTGAATGGCTTTATGGAAAGACGAAGAGTAAAATTCTGTATTTGCTCTTCGTTAAAACAAGTAGAAAAACACGGATTTTATATTGAATAAATTTTACAAAATTGAATATTCAGGCATAATTTGAGTCGTAGAATCGAAATATGGAAACAACTGGCATATCATTTTAGCAAATGTCCGATTTCTTGTCAAAATCCCTATGTTAGAACAATACTATATCGAAACTCGAAAGCGCGACTTAAGATAAGAATCTGATGTATATCTTAAGTCGCGCTTTCGAGTTTCGTCAATCGGCCCAGTAGAAGGGGAGATATAGAACTGTTCCCTCCCCCCCCCTTTTTTTTTTTTTTTTTTTTTTTTTTTTTTTTTGGTGCAATGTACATTTATTTACGTTGATTAATTTCTGAGAAAAATGTCATATTAATTTAGCAAATAATTACAGAGTCCCACTAAAATGCAATCATTTCTGTTATTAGTTTACCATCTAATGAGTGGATTCATTGATTACTATAAATAGCGATTAGGCTATTTTACCTAAAGGGTTTATTTTTTATATGTTTAATGCTATTTTTACAATTCTGTCTTTAATTATACAGGGCAAGAATAATATACTATAAATATTACTAGCTGAGTTCATATTCGATAGAAAAAAAAATCTCCTAGGAATCTGTTGAATCATATTCAAGATGGAAAGCAAGTTTAGTAGATATTTCCTTGATTCATTTAGATACTTAGTATTAGTTCGCGAATAAGACGATTCCTACGATCCGAATAATGAAAACTAAACACAGAAACAGTCTGGTGCATCTAGAGGATTATTTGCGCTTTGGTTTAGCAACCTTCAGTTACTTGAGAAATATCATGTGCATCTCATAACCCTCATATTTTTCAGTGCATATTTTTTCTATTAATAACTAATGTTTAATAACTTTTCTGTTAATATAATTTTCTTTTTTTATTAATAATTTCTTACGCGTTCAAAATGTGTTCACAAAACGTCGGCGTCAAACATGTTAGCTATTCACAAAATTTCACTGCACGGCATAAAGATTAATGTATTTATAATTAATTAATATTAATACGAAACCGAATAAGAATGAAAGTTACTGTTTCGTAAGGTCGCAGGAGTTCCATTATGAGTATCATCAATCGAAAAACAATAAGATTCTCAAATTAATTTATAATACAATACGTCAAGTAATAATTACCTTCAAGTCATAAAATGATTCCTCATTTTCTATAAGTTCGGCAATACAGTCTAATCTAGTATTAACTGTATTAATATTGCATGGTGGCTGTAAGATATTTGCACGAAGGAGACGATCTCCACCCGCAGTAAGGGTATGATTTAAAATGCCATATAGAGTATGGCCTACTTTACCCATTTCATTCGTGACCAACTCCAGATTTCGAGCGGTGGATGTACCTAAATTATATAACATATGTAAAGTATTATGTATGCATAATTTCTGTTGAAATATGCGTTCAGCAATACTGAATATTCAGCTATACATTACTTATCATAGTGGTATCTACGCTAGTCCGGTAAATAATTTTTAAAGAGTTTGAAGCATATGACATATTTTGCTTGAACTCTGTGTATTTCAACAAAGCAGCAGCTGCAGCTAAGCAATAATATCTATAAAGAAATAACTACTTTTTATTTTCAAACTGATTTCATTCAAACTATCATAACATAACAAAAACTGAAATTAGGAGAGAAAATTACAAATTTTAAGGAAATAAAAGTTATCAATCATACTTGCTAGTAACTTCTATTTCCACAGTTTTGTATTCCGAAGCACTTAATTCTTTAATGTACTGCAACCCTTTTCCTTCATTAAAATATTTCCGTTGAACTGTTACGACATTTAATTCAGGAAAAAGTTCCCGTATTCGGCAAATAAGCTTAGTTCTTGTACCGTAATCTAGGACGGTATTAGGCATAATAATCTAGCAAAGAAAAATAAATATTTTATCAAAAATATAGAAAGTAACTTATAATTTTAGCATGATAAGAAGGAAGTTTTATGGACCTATCCTACACTTTCGTAGAATACACATATTTTATCTGAATTTGTTCACTGAATTTCTTCAGGAAAACTCATTTTCTTCATTTTGTGCTAAGGTTATGTTAATAGAGCTTTGTATTGCTTGCCTGTGAACATTACATTTTAAGAATACACAGCTAAAATATAAACACTAGAAATTTATCTTTTTCAATGTTTCTAATAAATTTTATAAAATTATATAAATTCTCTAAAACTTCCTTCTCGTATTCCGTGCAGATTCTTCTTTAAATTTGTTTTATTTTAATAATGAACATAAAAGTGAATTAATCAATAAGTAAAGTTACATATCGTTTTTGACTGTGAATTATATGCTAAACCATAAGTTCTCAACCAGAGGGGAATTAGGTCAGCCTTTTATTAACCTGTTAGATATTTATTTTATAAAAATGAAAAACTACTTTTATTCAAGTTATGGTATTTATTAACATTTTCTTGTTTAATTTATGAAGCAAATAAAAAATAATCTAAATTTAAATAAACAGTATTTTTAAAGTTAGAATGGGTTGGGGGTAATGATCATCTAGCAATGGTGAAAGTGATACTTGGAGCAAAAAAGTTTGAGAACGACTGTGCTAAACGAATTTTGAAAGCTATAAACTGTGTTAAAATCCTATGGAATGTGTTCATATATTTGGCAAGTTTCGCTCGTGTTTGCTGTATTAATATTGCTTAGAATACAGGGACGTACTTTGTTTTCGCCTGCGGAAAAATGATAAATGACTCCCCTATACAGTGCAAAGTGCGGGCTGCCATTGATGAGGGGGTAGGCGGAAGAGAAAGGAAAAAGAAATACGTATATATAATGTTATGTCGCGAATTTTAATTATTAATATGTGTTTTAAGTTATTGTTGTTCTATTAAGCTGTTAAAGCCTTATTTAACTGGCAGTTCTTGAAAGTGTAGTGTAACAAAGACAGGAGACGGTTGCGAGGAAACACATCTGGTTTATTGCTTTATGGCCTTTTTACTAACAGTGGAGGCAGTAGGTGGTAGGGTGCTGTATTGTCGCGTTTTACTAATGGCGTTTGAAACGAAAATCGTCTTCCTTTCGCTTTGTTATAGTTTCAATTTTGTTATTTCAAGACAGTGGGGGGTGTACTAAGCTTAGGTAATTGGATTCTCGTAAAGCTTAGTTCCGCTTGTTAGTTGGAGGGATCCACTTTCCCACGTTTTTCCTGAGTACAGATGTTGGCTCATTGTGAGAATTTTCTTTTTTTTGGATTCGTCATGGGGGTGTCATTTTCTCAGTCTAGATAAAGTAAAAATTCTGGCATTGGTGTGATTTTAATTTTGTTTTTTTTGTAGGCCTATAAACTTACAGAGGCTGAGAAACCGAAATTTTCTGGGTGCTTGCACCAGGCTAGAGTTCATTCTGATTCTGATTCTGATTTTCAAGCTAAGAGAAAGAGTGGGGGCTTGATCCCTTGCGGGTCTTGCTCTCGTGAGCGCCGGCTATTGCGTCAGATTTGGAGCCTGATTTGAGTCCTGCGATGTGAAATTAAGCCGAAAAAAATATCGGGACGTTTGCCCTGTTGCGGCCTTGCCTTGCAGCGGGCGCCGTGAACCAGCGAGCAGCAGATATGATTTTCTCTCGGCGTTTAGCTGGCGAGAATTTGCGTTGGCATAAGGCGTAGAGCTCAGCATAGAATTTCGATTCTCTTGTTCCAAGAATTGTAATGCAGATTCTCGTGGTGATCCTGATGCGCTATTCCTGTTTTTCCCGACTTTGACTTCGTAATTAGATTTTGTTCCAAAGGTGCTCTACGTTTTTGGTGGGTTTCGAGGCTTCCAGAAAGAGATTCGTGTAGGATCCGTCTAAGGTGTGCGATGCTGCTTATTCTGCCTGTGTCAGCTGCGTCGATTTTTTCATCCTTCCGCGCTCTGAAATTTATTAATTGTAAGGACAGCTTCAGTGGTGTGTTCAACCAAGTCATCTTTAAAATTTGCAAGAAATGTCTGTCTCCATTAACGAGGATTTTGTGGAATAAAGGACAGCAGGAATAATGTGGTGCTCGAGTAAACTTTGGACGCTGGACGATCTGTGAGCTGTCAAATCGCCTTATTAATCAGTATACGAAGGTATTTCCCGAGTATTGAAGGGAGTGTGCGGTATGGACTTCATCCCCGTGAGTGATTTTTTTTTTTTTTAATTTGTTTTATTTTAATAATTATCTTAATACTCAAGCAAGAGTCGTCATTTTAATATTTCTTAAAACTTGAGTAATTACTTAAATTAATTAATCAATGTGGAAATTATCAGTGTTCTTAAAGGGAATTACCATGATAAATACTTAAAGTTAGAAGATGAAATGGGAGAAATACTAGTGTTACACTTATGATACAGTAGGATTTAATAATGTTAATCTTAATTAATGTAGGCTGTAGTTTGGTGTGGTATTATGTTTTATTTTGCATAGAAAAATATGTGGTAGGTGATACTGATCAGTTACCCAAGTATTTACTAATATATTCAAGAATTTATTAAATGTGTGTTTAAAATTTAATTGCATTTGTGTATTTATCTTGTGTGTAATTTACTGTGGTTTGTCATGTCCCTCCATTTGTTTGAGCTGGGAGGCTTTCAAGAAACATGGAGTTTTATTGAATTTGGTTTATTGATTTTTCCTTTGCATAGGTTACTCAGAACGCTAACCGAAAATTTAATTTGTATTACCACTATACGATTGTTTATTCGATTGATCTTTGATTATTATGAATTAGATTTGTTTTGATTATATTATTTTTTTTAGTTAATTTGTCCGGCACCATAAGTTGAATCAAAGTTCAAAGTTTTAAAAGGGTATTAAAATCCCCAAATTTTCAAATATTCAACAATACCAAATTTTAAGATATTTAATAATAATATGTAAAATATAAAAAAATACGATGGCTTTGCTCTGCGCGAACCAGCAACCTTTAATTAATTTTCTGCGATTTAGGATCTTCCCCCTAGACCAGTACCTTCCAGAACATTCGCGCCTATTACATAACCGCTACTATAAATAATGAATGCGCGCCATTTTGCGTCAGAAGCTTCCCTCTCCCTTGTGTTGTTAAAACCTACGCTGCTGCTCCCATCTTCCTTTTCTCGAAATGACGCTGTTCCGAGAGCGGTTACTATTTTTAGAATTTAGAAGAGAAATTTACGTTGCTAATTTAATCTTTTACATATTCTTTATTTTTCTTAGATTTATTTATTTATTTATTTATTTATTTATTTTTTAATCTTCATTTTTTTATTTTAGCAAACATGTTGCGGCGACAATCAAGTGGGCACTTTAATCGTGCTTATTCCAAGAGATTTTACATTTTAGATAAATTTGCAATAAGAAAGAAAGAACAGACAGACAGCAGTGCAGCTGGGCCAAAGGGTAGCAAGCAAGTGCGTAATGTTCAGGATGAAATCTTAAGTTAAACTGAGTTAGCAAACTGAGTTTGCTAACTCAGTTAGTCAAACTGAGTTATCAAAGCATTTTGAATGGATAGTTAATATTGCTGTAAAATTACTATTGGCTGGTTAAGTTTGTTTCATTTACATCATCATAATTACGTAAGAATCATATGACATAGATTTTTCTCGAAATGACGCAGTGCAGAGAGGGGTTACTATTTTTAGAATTGAGAAGGGAAATTTACGTTGTTAATTTAATCTTTTATATATCCTTTATTTTTCTTACACACACACACACACACACACACACATATATATATATATGCCCCATGCAACTTAACTATATCTGTATACTTTTATACTTATTAAAGGGGTAACTATTTCAAATTATAATACCATAGCTCTTATAATAATGTTTTATTGCTGCGTTTTATATTCAAAAACATGATGCACATAATGTTTAAAGTATTCCTCCCGCCTTTTTTAGCATGCCTTCGTGGTGTAATGGTCAGCACACTCGGGGCGTATTCGAGAGGTTCGAGTCCCGGCGAGGACATTGCTCATTTTTCATGTCTCTCAGCATCAAATATTCTAATATCGCTACAGTGGCGATTGAAATGAAAAAGTTGGTGGGTGAGGATTCTCCATCACCAGGATTTGACGACTGGGTCCCCTAATCCCCAGTTGCCTTTTAAAAGGGGGATTATATTAAGGTATTTCTCGTGGTTTCTTAGCATGCCTTCGTGGTGTAATGGCCATGCTGAATGGTCAAGTTAACGACAGTGATCAAATAACATTCGAACAACTGAATATACCATATTCAACTGCAGGGGAAATCTTCTAATTCTATAAAATGCTAAAATTTTCCTCGGGATTTCTATGTTCAGTTACTTAGTAACGATGTTGAGAATCGGAAGCAATTTTCTATGACATTCTTAGCTCGAACTGAAATGCATGGTGCTTGCTATTGAAACATTTTGTGAAATAATTAGGCTCATTTTTACGTGATAGGCAACCTAATAATATAATAAAAATAATATAAAAAATATAATAAGAACAGTGAAAGTACATGAAGATATAAAGGCCAGAAAAGGTATTAAGTAACTTACATTCTTTCTAGTGGGGAGTTGGCAAAGTGTTTTCTTCGTGTCTGACTCATAAGTGTAGGGTGTCCGAAAATTCTTAGCGGCAGTGGGGGCTTTGAATAATATCAGTCGGTAAGACTTGGGTGAAGTAATTTATGGTAGTGGGTGGGACTCGGAATTATTGAGGGATGTATTATGTGGAATTCTTATTTGAGTGAAACTGTCTGTTAAGATTTTTTTGAAAATACTAGTGAATGGAAATTAATTAATTTCTGGCTAATTGTCGTGCCGCAATGATTAAGAATTTAAGAAAGGATATATATATATATATGTGTGTGATGTATCAGCTTTAGTCGTAGCTTAAATAATCAGACGATAAGTTTTAAAAAACAGGATCCATTTATTATTATCCAGGATAAATAGCAGTTACAAAAATCAGATATCCGGAGTAAATAAAAAGAATTACTAATAACTTTTTTTATGAAGTTTACTGCATCGTGACATTTAAGAAAAAGCCCCGATATTCCTTTTGTGAGTCTTTTTATACCCTCTGGAGAGGCTGAGCTTCCAAGAAATGACGTCAGCCTCGTCAGCCAATCCAGTTCGCTTTAAATATCTCCAGAACATTCTAAAACTGTACGTGTAGAAAAGGCGGGAAAAACAACTTGACTACGGGGCTGTGGATTTAATTCCACGTACTTTCAAATAAGAGAACATCGCCATTAAATTTGAAAAGAACATACAGTTAAAATTTTAAGTGTATTCTTGATTATGGAATTTTATTATTACATATATATATATATATATATATATATAAATTTACATTAATGATAATTCATTTAAATTACCTCTATTGGCTGAATTACGTTAAGCTGAACAGCTAGGCGAAGGTAAACTTGAGTATCTGCAAATTGGGAGAGAACCAAGACAGGATTTTTAAGATCAATAGACGCCATTCCAATTTCTCCTCTAGCAACACCTCTTCCTTCAACAACAGCTAAAAATGTTCAGGTGTGTGAATGAATTAATAAAACTACTAAAATACATAATGAAATATATTTTAAAGGATTGAATTTTAAAAAAATTAAAAGACTGAAGATAAAAATGCTTGATCTTTTTTTTTTTTAATATTCAGGCTACTTTAGAACAGCGTTTCCCAAACAGGGTCTTCCTAGGTTCTGGGAAACATTGCTAAATGTTCCTCAAGAAATGGGGGAATAAGGCGCACCTCATAAAAGGGCAAACAATTTTTCCTTATTTGGTACTATACTCGGGTAACTTCGGAGGGGGATAGTATGGTAACTCGAGTTACTTCGGGGGAACTATTACAAAAATCTAGGCGATGATAATTTAAAAGCTGCCTTTAGCCGTCCGGCTATGGTCGGTTAGACTCACCAAGTGTCATTAATGGTAATAAAAATTTCTTTGTTATTTGCTTTACAAATTCAGTTGTTAGAAAAAAAATTGTATAAAATATATAAACCACTAAAAAAAACTGAAAGTTTTCAGATTTTAACTGTCGCCAGAAAGGTTTCTCACTGAGCTCGCAGTCTGCTGTTACACTGACTCCTGATAACCCACTTTTTGTGTGTGTATGTGCGTATCTTTTTAGCTTTATGCATCATTTTCTTCGCTCTTACACCATATGCAATTCAACAGCAAAATTAAAAAAACTTTAAAAGCAGCATAAGAGTGTACGTTTAGGATTTCCAATGCACCGTTAAATGCATTTAAAAGCAATGTGTCTTTTTTCAGTTAATCATATCAATGTTCAATTTTCTTGCTAAGAGTGTTTTTATAAAACTTCTTTTGTTTTGTTGTTATTAATGTTTTGTATGTTTACTTTATCTACTTTATCTATTAGATATCACGCTCTTGGCACAAACGCCACATAAAATTTTATTCTACAGCAAAATATATAAAAACAACATATCTTTAGAATTTCTGACAGAGAGTCTCGCGCGCTGGAGATAAAAATATTTTATTCTGTACAGGGTTGCCACTGCTCGCTTTGATATTTTTGAGCTTGTTAATCAAAACTTTCGTTAAAGTTTTCCAAAATAGGAAAAAGATAATAAAACAAATTCGAAATTCAAAATTCGGGCTTCCGGGTGCCCCTGTTTGGGTGAACGACTACGTTATACAAAATTTGTTGGCTCTAGGTACCGTTGTTTTTCCCAATTCGAGAAACATACACACATTCATGCGGATTCTTCATTATTTAATTTCTTTAAATATAATACAGAGCGATAATATTTGATGGCAACATTTTGAAAAGTGATACGCCGTTTATAGTGATTGAAAACAAAATGCCGTTTCGATACTAATATCCCATTCCGGACCAAACGTTCCTTCTGGTCTAAATAAGGTAATTTTTTTAAGTGGAAAGTTATTAACTTAGTCTTTAGCAATTTTCGTTAAACTGTACATTGGCATTGCAAAGCTTATGCATGCAACATGAGTCTAACCGGGCATAGCCGAACAGCCAAAGCCAACTTTTTAGTTGTCATGAACTGGAATCTAGTGTGACTATGCATGCATTAGTGATGCAAAAAATGTATGATGATGTGGTTGATTAAACAGAGTGTTAGTGCGTATTTTTTATTTTTCTATTTTTTAGTTATTTTATTTTACTATTATTTATTTTATTTTATTACTACTTTTTTTGTTTTACTTGAAGACAAACAATCCACGTAATTCTGATGAGACTCATGAGGAAGATTCAGAATCTCACACAAAATTTCAAAAGACTGTTAAAGAATGAAGTGCAAAAAATAAAAAATTAAGAATGAAATCGTTGTAATGAATGTTATTTATCAGTGGGCTCTATATGGACTGGTGATCCATAATGGCCTCTTCCGTCATGTTTCTTTTGTGGTAAAAAGAATTTCGAATGGCTCCAACAAAACGGAACAGACATTTCAAGAAAAATCATACTAGTATGAAAAACAAAATCTGCAAAAATATCAAAACAAACAAAGTACAACTTTTCCAAACGCATTTACTTTTAGTGAAAATGCTCAAGAAGCAAGCTACTTGGCAGCAGAACTTATTGTATAGAAAAGAAAAAGTCACACAGTTGGACAGAATCTGATACTGTCTGCTTTTCAAATTATATATGTACAATGTTGGAAGAAGATGCAGTAAGAAAAATTTAAAATATTCCACTTTCGAACAACATAGTAAGTTAACGATGTGTCATATGATGTTGAAGAGGTTTGGTTTGGTTTATTGGGATTACGGCAAAGCACACTAGAGCTATCTGCCTAAGGGAAGGGATGCCTTCGTGGAGCACTTTCTAAGGGAAACTGTCTCGTATACACGTTACACATGGGGAAAACCACGAAAACGCCCATGCAGCCAGCCCGTTCGCGTGATTCGAACCTCGGACCGAGCTACCAGTGTTCAGCGACTTTACTGCTCGGCCGCTGGTGGGCTCTGATGGTGAAGAGGTTTTGTGTGATAAACTCAAAAATGGCAGTTTTGCAATTCAAGTTGACGAGTCAACAGATTCAACCAACAAATGGTTCTAGCATTTATAAGGTTTGTTAACGAGGGACAAATTTAAGAAAAACTTCTGCTGTAAAGAGTCACTTGAGATAAGCAAACGAATAGATATATTTAATATTTGATCGGCATAAAAATCTTTCTGGGAAGAAATCTATTGGCATTTTAATAGATGGTGCTGCTTCCATGCTTGGCTTTATAAAAGATTTTGTTTCTCTTGTAAAAGAAAAAGATGTCAGTGTTGTTTCCACGCACTGTTTTATCTACAGCGAAATACTGCTGAAAAATCTCTTGATAATGAACGACAAAAAGTTTAATGATATTATAAAAATGATAAACTTCATTAAACAAAAGCCACTTCACTCCAGAATTTTTTTTTTTTTTTTAATCTATTAAAACACGGTTAAAGAAAGCACAAATCTGTTGTTATACACTGAAATCCGGTTGTTAAGTAGAAGCAGAGCCTTTAAGTTGGTTTTTAAGCTAAAAGAAGAAATGCATGCCCAATTTTTTTTTTTTTTTTTTTTTTAAGAAAGAATGAAAGAAAGAAAAAAAAACAAAAGATCAACAAGATTTTACTAAATGCTTCGAGGATCAAATGTGAGTCAGATGCTAGCTTATTTAGTCGGTATTTTTCATCACATGGATCAACTGAATAAGTTTCTGCAAGGCGTTGGAGAAAATATGCTAATTTTTCAAGTGACAAGATTCTTAAATTTAAAGGAAATGAAACTTATGGAAATCATATTGTAAAAGAGAATCTTGATATGTTTGAAATACTGGTGGGAATAAAAAGTGGAGATGGATACCAATAAATTTCAGGTTTTATAAAATCCTTCCAAGACGACCTGTCGAAGAAAATTGATTATTATTTTCATCCCTGTCAACAAAACTATACAATTAGGTGACGAATACATGTCCCCGCACTTCCGTTCGTCCTCAAAACTTACAGAAGAAAAGAAAAAACAAAAGAGTGACTCACAATCGGATGGTTCATAGAAAATGAGGTTTAATGGATATGATGATACACAAATTTTGGATTTTCGTTTAAAGTGAACATCTAAAATTTCATAGGAAAGCGATTAAAATATTGATGCAGTTTTCAACATGAATAAGCTGCGTGAATAAGCTTTTTCTTGTTTAAAAAGTATTAAGAGTGAGGATAGAAATCATCTCCTCTCTGTGGAAGATGAAATCGGAGTCTGTATATCGAAATCAGGCCCCGAATCAACGTTTCTGTTTTTAAAAAAATGGCGCAGATTTCCCATTAATATTTGTTATAAATTGTTATACAAAGAAATTTATTATTTAACTATACTTAATTATACTTAAAATTATACCAACTTCATGTAATCGCATATCTTTTTGTTTTGAAATAAATGACTAAATTGACAATCATTTTTTGTTTTCATTAATGATTGTTAATCAATCATGAATAAATATTGTTACACAGACGCTGGGAATAGCTAGAACTTGAACATTGTCACAAGGGCTCTATAAGAGTGAAAAGTTTGAGAAACGCTGCTTTAACCTATTAAAATAAAAAAGTGAAGCTTGTCCATGATGATTATTTTTTAAAGCAATCAAAATTATTCAAACATAGTTATCGTATTTTAAATTGTCTTTCAGATGACCATTTCTACAAAAGAAAACATTCTAAAGCAGTGTGTGTTTATTTTATTTTAGGACGTTTCCTATACTTAACTGCAATGAACACTTTCCTGAAAAACCCCCTCAGAAACTGATTAGTACTTCAATGAACTTGAATTAAGGTAAGTATCGAACATCGTGATCATTTTCACAGAATACTGAAGTCATCTGAAACCGCAAATACTCGCCTTAGCGAGAATTTACTGTGTGTAATTAATATCGAGGTATCTCTAACTATACTTTTGGATGCAAAATCATAGTGCGCATCATCAGTATTTCTATGAGAAAATTATTTGAGAATTCAAATTAATTTTGCTAAAAATCCAATTGTGTGCCAAACTTCTAAACGCGCGACTCTGGAAACAAATGTTTTGCGAATTCGGCACCTTCGACTTGGTGGCAACGATATTTATACCCTCTTTTAAAAATAATAAATAAATAAATTGTTAAAACGTAATAAATAAATGAAATGAAAATTACTAATAATTAATGTGATTTAGAAAGCTAATACTTTACAAACAGTATAATGGAAATGAACAACTATTCTAATGCGTGTGTCTAGCTGAAAGTAACAAAGAATTGGCAGGTGTTAATTCCATAAAACCATATAAGACCACTTCTCTTTGCGGTCATTATCTTTTTAAATCATTCAAAAGCATTCCTTTTCCTAAATATCATTATTTAAACATTGTCTATTTTGTGTGGTCAAATACCGTTTCCATAGCCAAGTCTCCAGCCAGAAAGAAAAGCAGCTAGTCCTGTCACCAAACTTTGGTTCGACGCTTTTCTTCCAATTCTGTTTCAGTCAACCCAATGTGAGGCCATGTCAGTAGAACTCTTGGGCCTTTCATCGTAAGAATTCTCAATTTATGTCCCATCCAAATCCATATTCCTTACTTTATTTCTTTAATACGAAGAAACAGATGAATTTATCCTAGCTTTTGCACATAATTTGACTTTGGAAATATTATATGGAGAAGAGATTTTTAGAACTAGACAGAGATATTATATTTGGTAAACATTTTTACGAATTTTTCTTGGACTTTCGTTTACTTCTAGTTTTCTGATTCGTATAACATGATTGGTGTTGCAGTTAAATTAGAAACTAGTGATTTAATTTTAAAGCACATTTTATGAAGAATTTTGATGCTCTTTGAGAATTCCTGATTCTTAATGTCTGTCATTGCTTATATTCTTTTATATTTTATAATGTTTAATAAAGTTCCTTAAACCACTTTCCATTGAAGCATAAATCAATATAAAAAGCTCAAGAAGACATCAATTAAAAGTCATCATTACAAAAAAGATTCCAAAAATACTATTTTAATTTTATCATTACCAACTATATTTGGATTTGTACTAGATTGTGGGGTGGTAGATGATTTAGAACGTGATGATGGCCCTCCAGATACAGAATGTGAACTCGGTGTGACTAAATTATGCTGAGGTATATTTTCCATGTTTTGTAAATGTCCATGTTTTGTCCATCTGATATTCCTCAGTCTATAAAGAGAAAAAAAGTATGTCGTATTTCTTACCAATTGTTTATTTATAGTAATCATTTTAATTTTATCAAGCAATATTTGTTATTTAATGCATGTACATATTAAAATGTATATTATAAATTAAATGTGAAAGGAACTAACATACTTCTTTAGAGATTCATTTTCTTCAGATTCAAAAGATACAATGTTGCTACGTGAATTTGTCCATATTTCATCTTTTAATGATGCTGATGACAAACCTATATATAAAACAAAAATAACAGCTAATCCTAAAGGCTAATAATTATTTCACAAAATTTTTATCAAATAATTAAAATATTCTAATTATGCAGTTCATTGATAAATATTCGGGAAAAAAATAAATCGATAATTTAGGTATGTATTCATCATAGACAAGGATGTACAAGACAGTATACAGCATGGGCGAATGTAAGGAAGGAGTTATAGTGCTACGTACCGTGTGTCGTTTGGGCTTCGCTTTTACAGCCTATACCTTATAGTAAAATTTCGTGATTCCTGGTCTAAATTTATATCTTTTGTGTGCGCGTTCAAGTTTGCTTTACACGCCGATATAGAATTTTCTCAAATAATATCGCAAGTTATAATTGTTTTTGTAAAAGCAACACGAGATGTGATGAGTGTGAATGGTCTTAAGATATCTGTAGTTCACAAAATTGGAGATATTTATTATAAAATCAATTTCTGCAGATAAAATCGCATAAGAAGACTGATATCTACACAACTAATGTAGGAAAATAATTCTTTCCTTATTAAACAATAAATCATCGTTTCATAATACATCTCGTCCTTTAAAATAAGTTGCCAAGCACTTCCAAAAGGAGAGTGTGCGTAATAAAAAGATAGAGTTCAATAACTAAAAGAGGCTTAAAAACTATTCTCTTATAACTGTAAAATAATTTATTCTGTTCTTTTATGAAATATCATCCACCTAGATTTTTTAATACTGAAACATGCTGTCTCGTGCGTACGGGTTCACAATAGGTTGAATGCACATAGAACAGATTATAGCTTAGTAAAATTTATTTTACCAAAAGAATGACTTCCCAGTTCTAGAATTTTGCACAAAAACATTCGTGCAGGTCTTCACAGTATCAACAAGTACGGTCAGTATGCTTGTTGATACTGCTTACGAAGTTATACTCGTGCTCTTCAAACTACTAAGAACGCTAAACACAACGCAATGAAAAGTGCATCTCACAGCGAAGGTCGCACGGATATTTCAATGCTCCGAATGCAGATTTGAACTAACAACTGAGAATTGATGCTCGCTCTCTGGTCTTATATAATTATTCCCCGACTGCCAAGAAATCTCTATTTCTCGAAATTACTGGAAAGGATATGGAGGCCGGATATGATTACAGTTACATAGAGAATCAATTAAGTTTTTCAGTTACAATACCCATTGCAGTTATACAAGGGCTGAACCAAAATGTCGCCAAATGGTCGCCAAGTTTGGAGACTTTTAGCGAGTTCTCGCCAAGTTTGGCGATAAAAATTAGTTGCCGAAACCATCGCCTGCTTGGCGATATATCGCCGATTTAGCGAGATAGCTATTTACTCAATGTTAAATAGACTTGCCCCTGTATTCTTACTTTTTCAGCAGAATATCGCCTCTTTAGATTTTCATGTTAAATTATTTAAAAAAAAAACAAAAAAAAAAAAAAAAAAAAAAACTACAATTTCACAAAATTATCTAAATGCGTGCGAAATTCGTAGCAATACATTTTGTAAAATTCCATATAGTTTTCATTTCCACTCACACGCATACGCAGATACGCGCGCAAAATAAATAACTAAATAAATTAAATTTTCAGACTTATCACTGTAACATTATCGTGAACCATTTCATCAGAGAGCAGAAAAATCTCGTAAAATAAACAAATAAATAACGATAAAATATGCACACAGAACATATATTTGAGGCTTTAAAACTCAAACACAAATACTCCATTACTATAATTACACTCATAAATAACATTTTATGTTGGTAATAATCATGTGTCCTTGTATTCATGTGAGCTTTTGTCAATGTGAGATTTTCCGTAGGTGGGCTTTCATCCGTGGAGGTATTTGTTACGTGGCCAGCCATCATAGTGGGGTTTTTTTTCTTTCGTTCAGTGGACTTTTGTTAGGAAACCCTTTGAAAGGTGCAGCATATGCCTTGCTTCGCAGCTTCTCTTTTTGCAACGTCCCACGTGTTACATTTTCATTGTGTTGCTACGGCCGTCAGTTTAAAAAGTCAGTTGCTACGGCCGTCAGTCTACGGTAAATAATAACCCTTCAAAATTATAGAAGTAGACAATAGATTTTATGTAAATTGTTTTTAACATCTGAGCAGGATTGAAGTTACTTTTAAATTTTTAAGCATGAGTGAAGTTATATAAATTAGTGCAGTGGCAAAATCTACAGAAATTTAACTTATTATTTGTAGAATACTGTTCAGGACAAGAATATATGAGCAATATATTAAGATGAATTATAAATTCATAAGAAAATCCTAAAGCTGTTTCAAGTAGATACCTATAATAATCGTATAGCAGTCCTAAACTTCAATAACCCTTAACGTTTAACGAGCTTTTCGTGATAATTTATACATTTATACTAACCCTGAAAGATAACTAATCTTTACTGATGTAAGATCAAATTTTATAGCTTCCTCTATTAGTTGAAAACACAGGCCGTTCTATAACCTTATATTTCATAATAATAAACACTAATTAATTTACATGCAAAAAACTGAAAAGCAAAGAAAGTGGTATTTACCTGAACTAGACTGTTGGCAAGTATGAGATCTACCGCTGTTCATCATTAGAACAATTAACTGAAAGCAATAGTAAACGAATAAAAGACAGTTATATATACATAAAATCAAACTAAAGAATTAAAGAATGTTATTTCTGAATTATTTTTTATATTAAATATAGCTACAATTTTACAATTACGTTTTTTTTTTTTTTTTTTTTTTTTTTTTTTTTTTTTTTTTTATGAGTATGAACTGAAGTTTGCCCATAGTAGCATATTTGCTACCATATATTAAACGCCACGTTTTTATACCAGGAACAGCATGAAATGCAATTTTTATATCATAAATTTATAGATTGAACCTTTCTCATGTATTATTAGCAAATTTTAGGCATAGATAGCAGCACCAGCCCAAAGGAAAAAAATTAGAAGAAGCATGGATGCAGCAAACAATGCAAGCACCTTTTCAGACATAAGTTGTTTGTTTATTTTATCAGGTTCAATGTTCCTTCTTCGGGAACATACAAGGACCTGACTCGGAACAGAGAGCTTACTAAAGCTATGTTCACTAATTGTGGTAAGTAGACAGGATACACATGAAGGGTATACAAAACCCTTTATTTTTCTCTATATACAATAACTTCCGTACTTCGGAATACACTGACCCGCCACTTGGGGTCTAACGTAAAAGTATAAAAATAAAACTAAACTCTAATTTAACTTTAAAATAATAAACGTGGAAGATTGGCCTTATATTAACAGGAAGCCGTATGTAGTACAGAGAACTGTGAAACACTACAATACGTTTAAAAATTATCAAGAGGATTAAAACCTCTAGCCTGGAAGGCAACAAGCAACTGCGTAACTTCTAAGGTAAGCGGCCTGCTTCGAACTCACTGCTTCCTCCCTCTCGCTTGGCAAAAAGCCACAACTTAAATACTTGGCGTTCGCCAGACAAACTTTGCATAAAAACCTTTAACGCTTATAATTCTGGCCGGAAGTAGAAAATAAGAAGTGATAGTAAAGATTTAAAATAAAATAAACGTTAGTAAAACTTAAGATCCTTACAATTTTACAAACATTTTATTAATAAAACAGTTAATAATTACTATTTATATAAAGTAAAAGAAATAGTGTATCACACAGTATAAAATAACATTTACAAAATTATCGTTTTTAATGCTAAAATGTATTTTTAAAATCATGGTAGCAAATCTGCTACCATGGGCATTCGTGTATCTAAGCCTAGCAGTTCTCTGAAGAAAATATGTTTCTACGTTGAAATTAGTTCATGATCTTTAATCTTTGTAATTTTACAGATAATATATCCTTAAATACAATTTATGGATTAAAATTTTATTAGTTTAAATTTTGATATTTTTCAATTTAAAAAATATTTTAAGATATATTTTTCCTGTAAAAAAGTCTCTAGGAAAATTCATTTTGAGATTTAAGTTGAAAAATAAATTTAATCCTCTATTAAATCTCAAGTTCTTTTTAATACATTTGTACTTTGTTTATTGAATGAAATTTTAAAAAGTAACTTAATAAAATTTAATAATAAGTTAATAAATTTTCGGAATTTTGAATAAAATTTTGAATTTTTTTTCAGCCATGCACTCAGGTCCCTTTTTCCACAGATTAAGAGGAAGAAATGTGTTTAAAAAACTAGAAGATGCCATTGCATATATGATTGACTTGGAAAGTGATTTATCCGATATATCTGATAGCGACTCTGATGATGAATATATGCCTACACGAACGTCTGATATCTTCCATGAAGAAAGCTCAGATGGTGAAGACCAAGATCATAATAAAGATATAGAAAATGACCAAAATGCACCAAATATTGAAGAAAGTGTTTAAGAGCTATAAAACGTTTTAATTCTCTGAAAGGAAAAAGAACGTAATCTTATGCCTTCATTAAATGTTAATAACTTTCCTGATCCTACAGAACCTCTTCCATCTGATCTTGCATATTTTCAGATTGTCATATCAACAAATATGATAAAATTATTAGTTGAACAAACAAATCTGTATAGTGTTCAACAAACAGGAACTTCTTTTATGGTGACGGCAAATGAAATAGAGCAAGTAATAGGGAATAAATGATTATCGGAATGTGATTAGCGCGTATATCTCATATTAGAGGATATTGAGAAGATGGAATAAAGTATGAACCCAATTGCAGAAGTAATGTCTAGAAATAGATTTGAAAAAATCTTAAGATTTTTGCATATAGCCAATAATTCACAAATTGATGATGATGTTAAAAGTGACAAAATGCTGGAAAGTGCGACCGTGGTTGTCTAGACTTGGAGAAAACATGCTATGTGTTCCAGGTGAGACCAAGCAGTCTGTTGATGAAATAATGATTTCATTTCGTGGGACAATCCATATCAAACAATATATGCTTAAAAACACTCATAGCAAACGGGATTTAAAAATGTGGGCCCGGTGTGGACAATCAGGCATTTGTTACGATTTTGATGTTTTACACTGGAAAATCTGAAGGTTACTATTGAGATCAAACTGCCTACGCATTAGGTCTAGGAGCAGGTGTGATGCAGTTATGCAGCACTCTAAATAACCCAACAAAAACTCCAATCTTTGCGGATAACTTTTTCTCTGGAATCGAACTAGTATGTGAATTATCCAAGAAAAATACAGGATTTGTTAGAACTTTGAGAGGAAACAGGCTAATGAAATGTAAATTAAAGAACGAGAAGGACTTGAAAAAAAGAAGGCAGAAGATCCATTGATTATTCTGTAGCATCTGTAAAAAACGCAGATATCATAGCTGTAAATATAAATATTGTAATTTTAAATATTTGTTTTTCAATTATTTTTTACTTAAAGAACGCAGAAATCAAAGCTGTAAATATAAATATTGTAACCTTAAATATTTGTTTTTCAATTATTTATTACTTTTATAATCAAAGGACTGATGGTGTGCATCAATGGCTAGTGTAATAATTCCATACGGCAAAGATGTCACATATGCTCTAGAGGAATATTTACTCAAATTAAATGTGACAAATGTGAAAAAGATCTTTGTTTTAACAAGGACAGAAACTGTTTTAGAGCTTATCATTTGTAAATAACTGTACATAAATTAAACGAAATCTTAAAAAAAAAAAAAAAAAAAAAAAAAAAAAAAAAAAAAAAATGGTTGAAAATCACTTGATTTGTACCCTAATCTGCCATTTGCTACTATTAAAAAAACATTAAAAAAATTTTTTTTCACAATTTTTCACCATGTTTGTTTTATTTCACCTAAAATAGTACTCTTTTAACTAACAAATAATTTTTTGTTTGGAAATTTCTTGTGGTGGGCATTAGAGGGTTAATTTCATATACAGTAGAACATCGTTTATCTAAACTAATCATGGAAAAGAAATTACGAATTTTTATTCAGGCTTATATTTATAAAAGATATAAATGGCAGATATCATATTCAATGATATTGTTATTTTTGAATATATCTAGAATAAATTAATTTTAAATTTGTTTCTTATTTAAATCATATAAAATAAATAACATTTATGTACAATTAAAAGCAAGTGTTAAATTTTTATGGCAGAACTCAGATTGGTGACATTTGGCGGATTTCTTATGCCATCTTGCCGGTCAAAAAAGCTCCATAACTCACAGAATGGTAAAAACTGCCTTGGGATGTATTGTAATATTTATTTATAATCTAGTGTAACTTTTTATGTTTTTGGTATTTTTTCACTTTTCTAGAAATGTAACGCTTAAATTTATAACTGATATAAATCACCAAGGAACACAGGTACTTAATAATCATTTACAAGACAAAGATTTCCCAACCTGTTATTTCTAGTACTTTTCTATGAAATGGGTACTATTCACTTTCAAATACTATTTTTTTTTTTAATTCCTTAAAAAAAAAAAAAAAAAAAAAAAAAAAAACTAAAAAGGATGGGTTCTACGATGTAAAAATTCAGTCTTAATTTACAGAATCACTTGTGTTAATCGAAGTTTAATTGCATCATATACACTTTCTCCCACGTAAAATAACGAGCAAAATTCAAGATGGTGATTATGATGCTTTTATCCTGCCGGAACAAATACCACTTTCTACCCATCATTGTTAACCAGCATTTAGTTTCGATTCTTATAACAGTTTGCAAAATAGAACTTACCACAGTTTTGACTCACAAATTTCTAGATTTTTGACTCACACTGTGTACATGGTAATTATATATTCTTATTTTCTAGGCAGATTTCTATATGTCTTGAAACAGTCTCTGTAAAAATTATGTACAGTGTCTCCCAAACACTTTTTTTAGCAACACTTTAGCAATTTTGAGAAAAAGTGTTGTAACCCGGAACTGAATTCGGATAAAAAGTCCAATATTTTTTTTATTTTTTTCATATCATCTCGATGTGATTTTCAATAAAACCAATTTTTTTTTTTTTTTTTTAATTTTAATATTGACTTATTTCACTTTTCTAAAACTGAATATGTAGGAAGGCACAGATAAAACACTTCACAAAATTGATCGTACACCAAAACATTTTCGTAAAATTTCATAAATAAAATTATTCTCTACCACATTTTTTAAAAAATTTTTGCATTTTGATAACGTTTCAAAATATTGTTTGGTTTTTTTTTGCTTGCTTACTTCGTTATATTTTATTTAATGTTTAAAAATGGCTCTTAGTCGTAAGGAAACAACGAACAGCATTCGAAAATTGTTCATTTTTTATCATAAGAGCTGAAATTCCATTCGGGATATCGTCAAATTAGTAAAGTTATCCCATTTTGCGGTGCAGTATGTGATAAAATGCTTTAACGAAGAAAATCGGATCAAAGTCAAGTAAGAAGTTGTTTTCCGGAAAAGAGAACTCGACGTGACTCAAGGTGATCAGAGATTTATAATTCGAAAATCTGTGAAAAATCTACCTTTGAGTGTTGTAAAGATTTCCACAGAATTTACTGAAAAATCTTCTACTTCAGTTTCACTTTAAACTGTTTGACAAATACTCAGATCAGCTCGATTACACGGGCGCTCTGCTCGAAGAAAATTTTTTAGAAGTGCAAAAACTTGAAAGCTTAAGCTTTTCTTCTCAAAACCAGTGCTAAATAACCCCGAAGCGTATGCCTATTGGAATCATGTCTTACTTGCAGATGAAAGCAAATTTAACATTTTTGGTACCGATGGGCGTATGGAAAAAAGAAAATAACGAGCTTAATCCCAAGAACTTGATTGGAACAGTAAAGCATTGCGGTGGAGGTGTTCTTGTGTGAGGATGCATGTCAGCATCAGGTTTAAATAATTTAGTATTTATTGATGACACAATGAACAATGTTCTTTATTTAAATATTTTAAAAGATAATTTTAAAATTATCCACCTAAAATTTGAGTACTCAAAACAATTTTATTTTTTTATCAGATTAACGATCCTAAGCACACAGCCCTCAACGTTTACTGTCTGTTTGGGTGTCCATAATTGTCCACAAATTCTAAAAACACAACTTCAGTCACTAGATTTAAACCCAAAAGAAGACATCTGGAGTGAATTAAAGGCTAGAGTACGAAGACACAACATTAAAGCAAAAAACGAACTAAAAACAGCAATCATGGAAGAATGGAGGAACATTGATGCAGGTATTAAAAAAAAAAAAAAAAAAAAAAAAAAAAAAAAAAAACTGGTGAACTGTATGCCCAGACGTTTGAATAAATACTATAGGATATACTACAAAACACTAACTGACAGAAATACTACAATATTTACTAATATATGCAGATTTCTTTAAAGCGTGCGAATACTTTTGTGAAGTACTTTTCTGTTAGCTTTTTATTATTGATTTTCCAAAACACATTTTAGTATATTCTTAAAATAATTAATGTAATTTTCTAAGAGAAATTTATAGATATTATTAAAAAATTTTCATTCTGAAATATTAATTTTTATTAATGAATAAAGCAATATTTCACTGAAACTCTTAACGAACGTAGTATACGAACACTTTTGGAAGCCACTTGTATATGACTTAATTCTACAGATTCACGCCGAATTCTATGGCAAGAAAACTGTTATAGTTACTTACTTCAAGGCCATAATTCTAAAGAAGTATTCTGTAAAAAAATGTAATATGGCTTTACAGAATCTACTAAAATTTAAGTTAATCAAAAAGTTCATTTCTTTATATGCCAATCATTTTAATATAATAATATTATCATTAAAAAAATAGTCCTGGCATAAATATAATAAAAAAAGAAATAATAATAAGACAAAAAATAATCATAAGAAAAGCTGAATAAAATAAATAAATAAAAATTCTGAATTTTTATCGCAATTATAAAATATAAAATGTTAATTTATTAAAACTTGATAATTTAAAAATTACCCGAAAAAGCAAGTAATTTATTTAAAAAATAGAGAGTTTTTGAAATTAAATAACTAAATGTATGTGCCCAAATTGGCATGTTCATACACTTACATCCTCCGAAAAAACAAATTCACATATTAAAATAAACATGCGAAAAACCTTGAGTCAGATCTTGACTTCATTGAACATTGTCAGATAGTATAAGTAGAGCAAATATAAGTACAGGCTTAGAATAAGTTTCTAGTTATTTATTTTTAAAATAATAAATTAAAATTGCATGCAAATATAACACACCTCATTATAAGAACACAATTAAAAATATGAAATTAGATAATTCCACGATCTAAATAAAATATTTTTTAGTTTTAACAGACTTTCTTCGCACAAATAACGAGTACAAAATTGTGTACTATCAATGACAAATAATAACAGAAAATGACAAATTTTTAAAAAAAATTCGCTGATAGCAGACGATGTTTACGCAAAAGCAATTACAATTCTGGTGAAAAGAACTAACTGGCAATGAAGTATTTTAAAAATCTAATATTGGAATTTTAGCAAATATCTGCTGCTTGAGATATGTACGATGATTATACATTGTAAAAATAATAATGATAATTAACTAATACAAGTTTAGTGGAAAATGCATTTAAAAGTCTTTTATGTTTGTCTTTTTATCTCATATTCTTGAAGAAAATTATAGCAATAAGGTTTTTAAAAAACAGAAAATGAATGCTCCTTCTATCTGTCGCAAAAGGGGTTAAAAAATGGTATAATATTCAAATAAGAGTATGCCTATGAAATTAATTATGTAAACTAAATTTTTGTTCTCTGTTAATAGCAATTTACAAGGACTGACATTTATTTTCGAACACTTGTATTTTTAATTTTATTTGCAAATATTAATTACTATAAATTTTTGTTCTCTGTCAATAGCAATTTACAATGGCTCACATTTATTTTCGAACACTTGTGTTTCTAATTTTCTTTGCAAATATTAATTCAGAAGTCAAACAATAAAAATCAACGTTATATTTTCAAAATTTTCACAGGACTAGTTTCGATGGTTTTACAGAACCACCATCCTCAGCTGCAAAACTGCAAATGAACAAGATAGAAAATAATGATTAGATAAGATAAGAAAGCCTGGACAAGAATAAGCAAGTGGTGCCATCTGTTGATGAAACCAGAACTAAAACATAATTTCTTTAAAGGCCGAAGGCAAAGATGGATTGGAATTAGGATCGTTAACTAAAACAGAAAGATTTGTTTGAATGTGAAATGCCTCTAGAAAATCCAGTTCTCCAATGGAAGATGTTTTCTGAATAATTTTGGCGGCAGAAAATTTGAAAGTGTGATTTTCGGACCAACAATGTTGAGCAACAGAAGACTTTTGTGTTTCCTTTTTTTCTGACATATGCCTCATGTTCCTTGACGCAAAATTTTAATGCTCTCTTAGTTTTGCCAATGTAAATTAAACCACACTGGCAAGGAATCCTATAAATACCCCAGGAACTCATATCCGGAATGGGGTCCTTGAGTATGAAACTCGGAATTTTATTGATGGGAGAATAAACGACCCGAAAGTTAAATTTTTTCAAAATATGTGCAATTTTATAGCTAATTGATGAAAAGAATTGAATGACAACAGAATTTTTATAATCTCCTAAAACAAGAGTGTGCCTTTTAGTGTGTTGAGATGAGAATTTTTTAACTGCTTGAGTAATAATGTTGGGTGAAAAGCCCTTGTCAATAGCTATTGCTTTTAAATAATTTAGTTCTTCATCAAAGGATAGTTTGGAGGAGCAAACTTGAAGATCACGGAAAACATAGGAATAAAATGATGCTAACTTTTGATTAGTCGGATGACATGATTTAAAGTGTGGTGGAAGGCAAACCGATGAAGGTTTACGGTAAACCGTAGTACTGAAGTTCAATGTGTTACGTGTGACCAGAATGTCGAGAAACGGAAGAGAATTGCAAGTCTCAAGTTCAAAAGTGAACTGAATAGCAGGATCAACAGAATTCATTGTTCAAAGAATTTTATTTAAATCATCTTTATTACCTTCAAACAGGGTAAAAGTATTGTCTACGTAGCGTAACCATGCCGTGAAGTTTAAATTTTCAAACAATTTTGATTCATAATAATACATGTAGATATCAGCCAGAATGGGACTGAAGGGGCTTCCCATGGCTAATCCCTCAGTTTGCTTGTAATATTTATTTTGGAAAACAAAATGTGTGATGATTTAAATAAAGTTCTTTCAACAATGAATTCTATTGATCCTGCTGTTCAGTTCACTTTTGAACTTGAGACTTGCAATTCGCTTCCGTTTCTCGACATTCTGGTCACACGTAACACATCCAACTTCAGTACTACGGTTTACCGTAAACCTTCATCGGTTTGCCTTCCACCACACTTTAAATCATGTCATCCGACTAAACAAAAGTTAGCTTCATTTTATTCCTATGTTTTCCGTGCTCTTCAAGTTTGCTCCTCCAAACTATCCTTTGATGAAGAACTAAATTATTTAAAAGCAATAGCTATTGACAAGGGCTTTTCACCCAACATTATTAATCAAGCAGTTAAAAAATTCTCATCTCAACACACTAAAAGGCATACTCTTGTTTTAGGAGATTATAAAAATTCTGTTGTCATTCCCTTCTTTTCATCAATTAGCTATAAAATTGCACATATTTTGAAAAAATTTAACTTTCGGGTCTTTTATTCTCCCATCAATAAAATTCCGAGTTTCATACTCAAGGACCCCATTCCGGATATGAGTTCCTGGGGTATTTATAGTATTCCTTGCCAGTGTGGTTTAATTTACATTGGCAAAACTAAGAGAGCCTTAAAATATCGCGTCAAGGAACATGAGGCATATATTAGAAAAAAAGGAAACACAGAAGTCTTCTGTTGCTCAACATTGTTGGTCCGAAAATCACATTTTCAATTTTCTGCCGCCAAAATTATTCAGAAACATCTTCCATTGGAGAACTGGATTTTTTAGAGGCATTTCACATTCAAAAAAAATCTTTCTGTTCTAGTTAACGATCCTAATTCCAATCCATCTTTGCCTTCGGCCTTTAAAGAAATTATGTTTTAGTTCTGGTTTCATCAACAGATGGCACCACTTGCTTATTTCTTGTCCAGGCTTTCTTATCGTATCTAATGATTATTTTCCATCTTGCTCATTTGCGGTTTTGCAGCTGAGGATGGTGGTTCGGTAAAACCATCGAAACTAGTCCTGTGAAAATTTTGAAAATATAACGCTGATTTTTGTTGTTTGACTTCTGAATTGGTATTTGTTCGGCGTGTTATTGTGTCTTAATTGCAAATATTAGTTACTAAATAATAGCGAAATGACTTCATTCTTCTTTCAAGTATGTTATTTATTGATCGTCATTTTTAAAAACATACTTGTTTTGAAAAAAGTTATTCAAAATGTTTTCTGCTTTTAAAAAATTATTCAAATTATTCTGAAAATGAGCTTACATAAGCATTCAGACATCTTGAGCAAACTGTTTATATGTAATAAAAACATGAATATTAAATGACATTCAATATTTTGTTGGATATCCGGTCCGGCGGTTACTAAAATAGACTTACTCAATTAAACTAATTTTTATTTCAGCATTTTAGTTCATTTGTTTCTGAAAGGCACTCAGGCAACCACACACACTCCACTTCACCATCAGAAGTAAAAAAAAAATTCTTTCGTCGACAGTAGCGATGGCAGCGCCATGATTGAAATTACAAAATTTCAAGAAATTATGCTAAAAATTTCTTCAACCAAAATTAATATACTTGTAGAGAGACGTTAGGTTTATTTTGAAAGGAGGAGAGAGGAAAAATGAGCGATACCCTCGCCTCGAGAGGAAAAACGAACTCGAACCACGGACCTCTCGAATACGCGCCAAGTGTGCTGACAATAACACCACGAAGGCATGCTTAGAAAGTGGAAGAAATACCTTATATACCTCTCTTTTAAAAGGCAACTGGGGATTAGGGAACCCAATCATCAAATCCTGGTGGTGAAGAATCATCATCCCCCCCCATTTTTTAGTTCGGGCGCCACTGTAGAGACATTAGACTTTTGAGGCAGGAGTCGTGAAAAATAAGAAATGCCCTCATCGGGACTCGAACCACGGACCTCTCGAATACGCGGTACGTGTACTGGCCATTACACCGCGAAGGCATGCTAAGGAGACGGGAGAAATACCTTATATACTACCCCTTTTTAAAGGGCGACTGAAGATTAGCGGACCCAATGGCCAAATCTTGGTGGTAAAGAATCATCATTCACCATGTTTCAGTTCGGGCGCCACTGTAAAGACATAAGGTTTATTTTGAAAGCAAGAGAGATGAAAAATGAGCAATGTCCTCGCCGGGACTCGAACCACGGACCTCTGGAATACGTGTCGAGTGTGCTGACCATTACACCACGAAAGCATGCTTAAAAGGCGGGAGAAATACCTTATATAAACAACAATAACACTATTATTATAATTAAATCTATTACAATACTGAAACAAAATACAATTTTCCTTTTACATATGTAAAAATCAGCTTTCTATAGGAAGCACCGCGATCTTTGTAATAGCCCTTTTTAATTCTCCTGATTTTGTTTTGATTTTAACAGTTCTGACATTATTATCGGATCCATGATAAGCTTTAATAATACGACCTAAAATCCATTTGCAAACTGGTAGGTAGCCCTCTCTGACGAGTACTATACTAAAAACAGAAATATAGTCCTTCTCTACCATCCACTTGGTTCTCTGCTGCAAAATTCCTAAATAGTCATTCAACCATTTTTCCCAAATAATTGAACAACTTTTGTTGTTCTCTGGCAACGACTTAACCGATTTTCATTTACGTCTATCATCGTCGGTTCCGTAATCGACGGTATGGATCTTCCCTATTGCCTCTTACTTGCACAATTATTGTTTCAAACTCCTCATACGTAAAACGCAAATTTGCTATCGTTCTCTCTAAGTAATACTTTACACTGGATTCCCATAGCCCTCAATTGAGGAGACTTGAGAGGAATAAAGTTCTAGTCTGTTCCTTCGAAAGTGAATTAAGAGGCCGAAGTTTCGTCTGAAAAATTAATTGCATTGTAAAATTTCTTCAATAAAGAATTAGCTCCTACAAAATAGGAGACATTATAAGAGAATATTTTTACACATTTACCACGTCTAGCCATGAAGCGGAAGTAGCAATTGAAGAATTAGACGTCATATCTGACAATATTTGGCTAGTTCTAAGCAGCTGAGTTTTGTAACACTAAATTTGTACTGGATACGCAAGTTTTTCCTGACCTTAT